AGAAAAGAAACAAAATAGGCTACATTTCTGTTTAAGGTGTTCCAAAAAGATAGTCCTGTTGTCATATCTCAATTTCCATCTTGAAAATACAGCGTCACAAAAAGAACTATTACAAATACGATTGTGTATAGGAGTTTTCAAGGAAAACTAGTCTTGTACTATGTGAAATGACCATAAGCCTATCATAGGAATTAATATAAAACTGTGCATAGATCTAAGCCTGCAGTAAATGTCTTTCGACAGGGTCTTGATGATCTGATTAGTCTTTTCCGGCGACCCACTTCTCGCAAAGTCAAAGCAGCCTGATTTTGGAGGTAGATTAAGATAAATTCTTACCCGCACACCCTTCAGTTCATATACTCTGCAATTTTTTGTAAAGCTTAAAACTGATATAGATTTTAGTCAAGTTCTGAGGTGATGCGGACGAGTCTAAGACTATGTTGTCGTTAAGTTTTTAGCATTTTCTCCAGGAGATCCTTATTTATTGCCCTTTTCCCGCTCTCAGTTGCTAGCAAAAAAGTTTTGTTTAGCCTAGCTTGTAATCTCATTTTGTTTTCTTTAAAACAACTTTTCATGTTAGTTTCTGAACTCAGAGAACTAATTTGTAACACTATAAGCACAATGTAGTTGGATTCTAATTGTATTCGGGATTTAGCTCTGATGTTCGTTGAGAAGTGAAATGGGGCAATGTGACTGATGATTTCAGTGCTCCATTTTTCAATAGAATTGTGATCAAATCACTTTCTAGTTTGTATTTGTCTTTCTTTCTCCTTTCCTGTAATGACATTTGGTACTCGAAAGAATGTAGGGGCGACAAACCATGCAATGGTGTTGTGTTTGTGTTTGTGTTTGACTAACCGTGTTATCGTATTATTATTTCTTTTAATTACATGTATGATCATAAGTCTATTTAATTAGATTTTCTAATAAGTGATGGATGACTCCATAAGAAAACCATCCGGTTTCTTAGAATTTTTATCTACATTTATACAGTACATAGATAAATACATGCTTTAAGAGCTCATTCTTTATATTTATACAGTACATAGATAAATACAATATTCTTCTATAAAACCAAGTACAAATACATAGAAACTCTCAAATTGTAAATCAATAAAATCAATAGTGTGAAAACATAGATTCGTTGTGTTCACCATAGTTGAGCCATCACCTTTTAGGTGGATGTAATCTTTTTAACTCGCGATTTTTGGAAAATGTATGCATGCACTCTCTGCAAAGGAAATATTGATACCTTGCACAAAGAAAACAAAACATCATTAACAAAACAAAAGATATGTTAAATGATAGACATGAAATATGCATCCTAAAATGGAAGATGCTAACTTATAGAAAAAAAAAAAAAAATTATGTGTATCCTAAGATGGAAGAGTATCTTAGAACAAGCTTAGCTGAAGAATAACAACATTAGTACATAATCTTGAAGTAGATTTTTATTTATTTTCATCAGGTACTGGAATGTACCCAACACCTAAAAGAGTTATTATTATGACATAAAAGGTAATACTATCAATGAGAAATTAGAAGTAAATTTCTTGCACAAAACTGAATTAACTTCTGCTACTACTAAATCATCTAAAAAAAATTGAAAACCAAATTTGAATGTAAAAGGTATATTAAGGAGATCAATATGAGTACATATCATGAATGTCCAGAGGGCAAAACACATATTCCTTAAAGCTGTGGAAAAATAAATAAATAAAATCCCAAGAATCCACCAAAAATTACCATATATAAATAAAAGTTATATTAGATAACATGATTTATCTCATTATATGACAAAAAATGCAGACATCTCTAGTTTGAATGTTTTTTTAGTTAAGTCCAACATTTAACCTTGATTTTAATAAATTGTATTTCTTGTTCGACTGCACAATAAGATAACTAAGGTGTTGTGATAAAGATAAACATTGGTTAAGTTATTGACTTCTTATTTCTTATTCATTTCTCCTTGAAATACATATAAGATGCAATCAGTTTATTACGGGATTCAATGACTCTGTAAAATTTTTCATACTTTCAAGATAATTAAAAAAAATGAATTTTTTCTTTTCTTTGTTCTTTTCTTATTTCTTGTTTAACAGAAAGAAATAAGATCTGAAGAATCATACCAGTGTTATAAGTATCACATCTTTTTCTATTACTCCAGTTTGTCAACGGAATACATAAATTATCAGATTCCACAACTCATCCCACAATCCCAAAGCAGTTGCGAAGTTTGCAGCATTGTCATCGTTAGAGGAAGTGGATGCGAGCGTGTGGATCGGAAGCTCAAAGTGTATAAATTAGGCCAAATCTGAAAAAATATAATAATAATAATAATAATAATAATAATAATAATAATAATAATATAATAAACACTTTCGTTTTGTTTACAAACTAGTTTTACCCCGTGCATTTGTACGAAGAACGATATAGTATAAGAGAAAGTAATTTAAAAATATAAAATAAAATAAAAATCATAACTTAATAAATGAGAAAAATTTTAAGAAAATGAATCTAAATATTATTAACACTTCCTTATATACAACATTAGTGGTTTTCCTATCGTCTGAATCCCATCACAACAAATCATTATCGTTACATCTCTTCAACTCGTGACTCTGAGATTTGATTTTTCAAAATATTTGATGTATCTATGTAATATCCGAAAAAATATTTTTTATTATTATATGACTGCAATAGAAAGTAGAGATATTTATAATCGTTTTTAATTAGTTGTGAAATATGTATTTATATAATACCAAAAAATATATAGTATCAAAAGGAAAACAAAAATATTTCATATTTCAGGACATAAAAAGACGTTACAAAATGTGCATTATCCAAAATGAGATCTGTCAAAATAAATTTTGTAATTGGAAGTTACATATTATTCTTAAATGGTCATATTTTTATTAAATGAACACCTATTTTTATTAAATGAACTCATATTATTATTAATTGTTGGCTGAATAAAATTTATTGAACCTTACCAGCAATTATATATATATATATATAGATACAAAACACACAGAAAAAATCTCTGATGTAGAACATAGTATAGTGATAAGGAGTGCTACAATAGGAATTGAGGAATAGAAACCCGATGATGCCGTATAATCTTTCGCTTTGCTTAGCATCATATAATCTTTCGCTTTGCTTAGGGGTGAAGAGTGGGCAGCGATGGACACTTCATGGGAAAATGAAGAATGTAGTTCCTCTAGGGTTTAGAGATGAAAGATTAAAAATTTCACCAAAATAAAGCTAAAAATGGTAAAGGACAAAAAAGTTTTTAAACCCTTACAATGTTAACATGTCAAGAGGAGGAGAGGCGATGAAGAATAAAAAATTATAGTTAGCTACAGTGGTAGGAGCTCCTTTATATTAAATAAGAGACTTAGATATCCACTTGCCTCAGTCTGTACGGTGTAAAATGCAGCAGAAATTGACCAAATAAAATGAACCTTTAACGAATATATACTAAACCTCTTGGCTTACGTAGAGCTTGTAACGATCGCCATCTTTTAAAATCACGTAAAAGTACGAATTTTGATTTGTATAGAATTTCAAAACTTACCTCTTAGTTTTCTCTGTAAAGCGACGACGAAGAGGGAATTGATTTCCGGTTATGTGGCTATCGCCGTCTTTGTACGTCTTTGTCATAGGAATCCATGTGTCTCCTCTCTAAGAAAGTCCACTTTTTGGAATATGACTCTGAGAAGACCTTCCTTGCTAGTAGAAATCTCCTAGTATTCAATTGGTATAAGTAATCGAATAGGGTGTAACTATTCACCGCCCCCTTTGGACAATTTTGCCTCTAACATTTGTTTCTAAAAAGTAAAAAAAATAAATACATAAAAAAGCCTCATGCCGGCCGCCCGGCAAAACCTGCCGTAACCGTGCATGGCCGCAATTGCTGGTTAGCCGCACCGTGCACGACCGGTTTTGCCGATTGACCGCACCGTGCAAGGCCGCAATTGCCGGTTGGCCGCACCGTGCACGGCTGGTTTTGTCGGTAGGCCGCGCATTTTTTTTAATAATCAAACTATATTTACTATATAAATTATATTAGGATTTAGATATTATTATTTTATAAATTTAGAATTTATTATCTTATAGTTAGAATTTAAAAATTATTATATTATAAATTATAATTAATTATCTTATATAAATTTATTATTATTATGTTAGAACTTAGAAATTATTATGTTATATAACATAATACTAATTATCTGTAACAAAATACTAATTATCTGTAAAAAAAAAATTACATCTGAGTGTTAGATCCTTATCGTTCTAACTTATCATTAAATATAGTGGAAGTTCTTAGTAGAGCAGATTGGGTTCGCTAACTTCACGGACTTAAAAGAAAAATGACATATGTAAGCTCTCTTTCTATGAATTTCCATTGTAGTAGATAATATTTTTAATGAATTATAACAATGATTCGTAATGATCGTAATTTATTTTTTTGTAGGAGGAGAAAGAGCAAGTTGATATTCAGTTGAAAGCATGATGAATGACTAAGTTGATGATTTTGGAGTAAAGTTGACGATGAATGCTTTTATTCTTTTAATAAATTATATGACAATGATCCGTAATAATCGTATTTTATATTTTTGCAGGAGGAGAAAGAGCAAGTTGATGTCCATTTGAAAACATGATTAATGGCTAAGTTGATGATGGTGGAGTAAAGTTGATGATGAATGTTTTATTCGGAGTAAAATTGAAACAATTGTTATTTTGAATCGAATCGAATATGTTTGAATATTCTACAAATCGAATTTGAATTAAAAAATGAGTTCATTTACAAATCCAATACGAATTCGAATCCACGAATATTTTAACGAATCCAAATCGGTTATCTTAGTATTCGATTTGATTCGATTTGTTTACAACCCTAACCACAATTCACTAGTTTGCATTGAATGACGAGGGCATTTTATGTCTTGTTGGCAGTGCTACTACGAACATTATCTTGAAAGATAAAATTATTTTTAAACTTTAATTGAAAAGAAAGACAGTGTCACTACAATTGCTCATGATAATAACTTAATGGTAGGCACTAGTAGAGCTTTGCTAACCCCATATGGGCACTAAATTAATAATTAATTTTAGGGTTAATTGCAAAAAAAAACCCAACCTTTCTTAAAGTTGCAAAAAAAACTCAACTTCTTCAATATAGCATAAAAATACCCAACTTTACAAAATTTTTGCAATTGTGCCTCGAAGGAAAATTCCGGTCAATTAGAGCGAGGTGGCTTATCGGAAAATTGACACGGACAACGACACGGGCAAGATGACCGTGTTACAGCCCGTGTCGCGCAAAAACTCTTCACCAGCGATTGAAAAATAAAAATAGGCTAATCTAATGGGCTTGCATCATGAAATTTCCGGCCGTTGGGAATGGAGAAAAACAAAATTGAGGTCCTCTGCTAGCTTGGGCCTGGAAATTTTTCATAGCCATCAATTTCAGAATTGATAATTTAATAGCAAAGGCCGAAATGCAAGTTCAGTTCAAGGTTCAGCCATCGAATTACCTGCTTCAACGCTCGAAGTCGGAGTAACTCTATGTCGTGCCGCCGCCTCAACGCTCGCAGCACGCAGTCGCCGCTCGCTCATCTTTCACCGCTCTCCGGACCTCCACCTCGCCTTTCTCCGCTCGCCGTGCTGCCGTCTCGCCACCGTCGCTAAGTCTTTTTGTTCTTTCGCCGATCGTTTCAGGTTTTTATATGGTTCGATTTTTTCCATCTATTATGTTTTCCTGCAGAAAAATGGAGTTAGACAGAAATTGAACGTGATTTACAAAGGCAAATATTAAAGGCCTTTTAGTATTTGCGCGACACGGGCCGTAACACGGTCATCTTGCCCGTGTCAATTTTTCGATAAGCCACCTCAGCTCCAATTGACCGGAATCTTCTTTCGAGACACAATTGCAAAAATTTTGAAAGGTTGGGTATTTTTATGCTATATTGAAGAAGTTGAGTTTTTTTTGCAACTTTAAGAAAAGTTGGGTTTTTTTTTGCAATTAACCCTTAATTTTATTGTACCCTGAATCTAAAAGAACACTCCTTAGTTTTAAAGATATTCGATCACATGATTATCATCTTGAAACTAAGATGCAAAATAATATAGAGTATCTATCTATGACTCAATCACAAAGAAGTCAAAAAATCTTTTACCTTAAATAAGAGATTTATAGTAGTCAAACTGCTACATAATAGGTCCTATTTGTACGTTAGAGTGAATTATTATTATTTTTTTTAAACAATCGTAGATAAGGGAAGGAGATTTTGTAGGATTGCCGAGATTTATGCATAAGTTTGACTTATCAATTTAACAAATGCAATCGAGATTAATGCATGCATTTAGTGCTTCAGTTATGCTCTAGTTTTTATTTACAAATATTTAAAATCTTACCAACTGACGATTTGATTAAATTTTTTAAATCCGTACAATAAGATGTAAGCAGATTTCAATTGAAAGAAATATGTATATTATCTTATGGATGAAATTATATGCATAGAAATTGGAAACTAGTATATTAAATCTATCAAAGAATATAGTTTTTATTTTTTCCACTTGTATGTACCAGTTTTGCGGATCAAAAGCAAAAGGAAACAAATTTTTAAATTTGAATTTTAGGATTAAAAAGTTTTTTCTTATAGATTCGTATTCATTCTATTTTCAGTAAATCCGAAATTATTTTGATTACTATATTTAATAAATACTTGATCTATTTTTATAGTTATAGATTTATATTACAAGGAAGAAACCTAGCTACGTACCCTAACAAAGGTATGTTTTCACTTGAATACTTCCTTGACTCGTAATAGTTTATCCTAGGGGTGGGACCGGTCTGATTTTTATACATTTTTTATGAATCGGAACCATTTTTTCATGGCTATTTTCGGTTTTGTTTGTGCCTTGGATTTTTATAGAACCGTCTGAGACCCGAATCGTGTATAATCGGTTCGATTTCTCCGGTTCTTCAATTAACCGATCAAAGCTTTACAAAATAAACTAAACAAAGAAACCGATAGATTGAATGACCAAACCCAAATATATATTAGCAAATGAAAGTACCGAATTCCCAAATTCACACACCAAACAAGACTTTCATTCTTTGTACTCTCATCATCTAGCAATAGCATGTCATCATCTTTTGTGAAGAAGTGGTTCATTATTTTACACAAACCTTATGTTTTCAGTTATCAAAGTTCTAGATCGGCAAAACTTGTCTCTATAACACCAAGAGAAATGGAGCTCATATTGAATTGATGTGTGTCACGGCGGCCAGCGACAGTGGGTTGCGAGCGGCAGGCTGCGGGTTTAAATTTGCAGACCTGCTGCTGTTCTCGGTCTTTGACGCTATAAGGAAGGAGACCAAATCGAATTGATGGCAATCTCTCCATAAGGACATGATGGGTATTGCGCTATCCGCTGTCGGAGTGCGGTCGACAGTGAGATGACAGAAAGAATCTGAAACTAAAGAATTTGGGAAGTTTTTGAGGGCAATGGGGCAGAAGGCTAAATAACCGATCTGATTAATTCATAATACATTTATAACCACACCAAACCGAACCGATTTTTTCCGGTTTCGGTCCGATTTGGTTCAACTGTTCTTGGTTTCAAAATCCCACCCGTAATTTATCCCCACTCCTCATTCTATGCATATATGCTATCCCGTAATTTGGTTTCTTCGGGCTGCCATAACTCACATCTACAATGGATGAAGCTACTACCAATCCTGATCCGTGTCACCTGTTAATACGTTTGGAGGATATTTTGGAATCTGATCCTATAATGTGAGTAATTAGTTACAGTTACTGATCATTATCTTTCCTGTAATCTTTATCAGTATTCAAGTCAGTTCAATGAATGATACGGTAGCTGGATTGTAGGATTTTTTTTTTCTTTTTTCTTTTGTTGCCACAAGCAGAGCAGACACCTTTGAAATCATTGTATTAATGGGTTTGTGCAGTGTAATATCCATTATCAAATCAAATATCACTAAAGGTGAATTTGAGTTATTTCTTTGTGTGTTGTAGACTTGTAATACTTTCTTTGAATTTTTAATTTAATTTTAGATACTATTGTTCGTACCCTATGATGCTACTGGTAACCCTTTTTTCACTTGTATATTGCACCCAGTGATGAAGTGGGGTTTATTCATCCAAATCAGTTCACCGCATTCACTGAAGAGGTTTGTAGCAAACCTTCCTCGTCTTCTGGAACTAATCTTCAACTAGAAGATGGTAGTTATGATAATTTTTTTTGTCATCATGGACATAAGCTTGGCATCAGTACCTTTGTTCTAGTTCCTCTCTATCGTGTGGCTAAAGATGCATTTATGGATGCTTATAATCAATATGTAATCTCATGCGAGTCTCGAGCAAAAACAGTTGATGAACCAGATGGAAATGCATTGTTCGTGGACATTGTGGAAAAGGAAGTTATGAAACATAGCAAGACACTTCTTCTATTGAGCTGTGATTTTGGCACTGCTTGGAATTCCAGGTAGTTCTTTTGCTCTTTCCTTTCTTACGTATGCTTAACTGTGTTTGTTCCAAACTTATAAATCTTTTATTCATAAAACATTAGTGTTGTTTAGTCACTGAACGATTGAGTTAATATCATTCAAGTTTTTGCTACGACTTATTTTGGTCTATTGACGCCAAAAGAAGCTTTTAATTAGTAATCCGAACGAGGGTATAAAAGAAGCAAAAGAAAAGAAAAGAAAAAACTTAGTTCAACGAATACCCTGATTAACAGTAAATGCAATGGTATAGTTTGGTGAGGTTATCATTTTGTGACACCTGTGTGTTTGTGACGGGGACAATTTTGTATCCACCTAATTAATTGAAAGTTATGATAATAAATTAAACAGTGGCTATGATGGCCTATTTGTTTGTGATGTATTATGGTTGTTTGATCATTGTGGGTGCTTCTCAGTTTTTAAATATGTTTAGTAGATGCAGTAACTGGAATTACTAAAAGTTGAACCCATTTTACCCGTATTTTCTGTTCGTACTCTTCCTTGGAGACTTAGTTCTTAAGAGCAGTGTTCTGATGTTGTATTTGTTATCAATTACTTCTTATTAGGTCCGCTGTTAAGTAACGCTATAGGTATGTTTTTCCATTGTAGGAAAGTTATTGTGTCAAAGAAGCTACTACTTCCGATGTTTATGGATGAACTACTCTTATCAGCTTTAGTTCTATCCTATTCACCAAAAAGCGAACGTGCTTGGAGCCACAGGTAGTATTTACTTTTTTTTTTTTTTTTCTTTTTTTTTGCTAACGCTCAATTCACTATGCCACTATAACTGTGGTTCTATTCTTTCTTGATGCATTCGGATAAGATGCTATTTACCTACTTATGTCATAATACTATATCTATATGCTTTCTGTTTACTTACTTTGCACCTATTCCCTCCTCCATTTACTTGATGTGCACGTGCTAAAATTATAATGGTACATTAACATAATCTGCTAACAACTTCTAATTGATGTCCACACCAATAGGAGATGGGTGATCAAGATGATCACTGGAAAGTGCACAAATCTACAAGAGATTGTGGAGAGAGAATCGCAGTTAGTGAAAACTCTTGCTGAGGTTGGTCAAGAATTATGGCGCCTTTTATATTTAGCTTTTGGATAATTATCTAGAGGGTTGGTTACTAAATTTACCTCGATGATTTAGCTAATCACGAAACCAGTCTAGTTATTCTTAATAACATGAAGTATTAAAAATACCCTGTCTAGTGAATTCTTTTTTTTTTTTTGGTAACAACTCACCCTCATCAGTAGTTGTGATTTTCTAAGTGCGATCATATGTCACTGTGGTATTGTCATATTTGAAACAGTGTTATCAAATGGCGGCCATGGCGGCGCCATGGCGGTATGGCGTGGCGGATTTTTGATAATCTGCTATGCAAAATTTGTTAATGATGGCGGTCATGGCGCCGCCATAGACCGCCACGGCGGCCGCAATGGCGGAATTTTGGCAAAACGCCATGTACTGCGAATTAGAAGTATGTTTGTTCATTAATAATGTTTGTTCATTAATGGCGGAATTTTGGCAAAACGCTATGGCGGCCTATCACCTACGAATTTTTTTTAATCTTATTTTTTATTAAACTAAATATATAGGATATCATTTGTAACTTTACCTTATTGAAATTTATATTTATGCATCTGCAGCCAGCTTTCATCCCTTTATTCTCATTACAGTTTTACTTTTCGTAAGTTATTTCAAATGTTATTTTTTTGATTCAAGATTATTAATGAACAAATATACTTCAAATATATAGTGAAAGAAAATTCGTAGGTGATAGGCTTAAAGATTCATGTTTATCTAGGGCTACTCTGATATGTGCTGTGCAGTTTGATGCAGATGATTTTACCGAGTATTATTACTCTGTTATGTCACCTAAGTTAGTCAATTAGGCCTCAATTGGATATGAGATAATTATATTTTCTTTTGGCCAGAGATGATTTATTTAACAGAAGATTTATTTCATTGCGATGTAAACAAAAAGATTTAAGAAAATAACTATTTATGCTATTTCACCTTTTCTCTAATCCCATCAACATAATTTAAATAAGAACCATTCATTGTTACATATTTTCCAGCAAAAAATATTATTCACCCTTTATATCTTACATCACTTTGATCATTACATTTTTATCTTAATTCATATATCTCTTAAGTTATTCACAATCTCACAAACATTCTAATTCTTTCCTTAAAATAGCCCTATCACGATGGTGTAGAGGAAGCGTCTTGAGGACGGTAATATAGTCACCTCCGGGGCAAGACCATAGCCCCCCTTCTACTTCTCCATCTCGATTGTTTGGGCTAGACAAAATTTTTGGAAACTTTATTTATCCCATTGTGGCATTAGTCGACTGAATAAGAAAGGGTAACTATGTTCAGCATGCTGACTTTTGATCACTTACCTCCTAAATGTGTTCCTCCACTTGGGTCCAAGAAGTTCTCTGTTGTATAAACCATTTCAATTTATGATCTCTCTGTTTACGTCTAAATCGTCTTTATTTCAAAGTGGCAGTGTTTAGCTTGAGCTGAAGATCAGTAAATCTTGTTTCAATTTTTTTACAGAACACTAAAATGAATTATCGTGCTTGGAATCACCGCTGCTGGTTGGTTTCCTACATGTCAAATTCACAGGTCAGGTTATGTTAGGACAGGGACCTGTGCTAATGTTTCGTATCTTTGTTAGTCCAACTGTCATCCCATTTATGTTTTGTTTAAGGAGAACAGTTCATTTTTTTCTTTCTTAATTCTTTTAGTCCACCTCTTTTTTTCTATTTGTTTTGTCTGTCATGTATGTGTGTGTTACAGAGGTATATATGTTTCCTCACTTCCATATTTGGTTTGCTGAAGGATAGTTTATGCTTCAAATCAGGTTTTACTTGAGTTGACGAGTTCAAGAGCTTGGGCTGGTCTTCACGTTGCTGATAACTCTTGCTTCTCTTACCGAGCTGTAAGTTCGAACTTGCCATTTACTAATTACATACCATAATGAAATTACATTCATCAAAATAGGCAAGCTAAATAATTGCCATGACTATTAGGTGTTGGTTTCAATTATATTTTTCCCATCTCACTGTGTTTGTGGAGAGGGAGCGGGGGCAGGGGATATGTGGCCCTTTCATATGGCAAAATCATTTAACTCTTGTTTCAGACACATGTAGTTCAGTCGCTACGAAATTTCGAAATATGTTTACTACAGGAAACAATGTGAACTACACAATCTATAGATTATATTGAAGATGTACCTTTAAAGATGTTACTTTCTCTAAATGTTCTGGTATCTCATTCTCTTGAACTGCGAATAGAAAATAATATTGAAAATTGATATTCATCCATGCTAATATTTTCAGTATTCTTAGGGGAACATATTGAAATGGTCTGTACAAACAGTACTAATGGCATTTTGTGGGATGTCAGCGCTTACTACTCCATATGATAGAGAATTTACAGCAGAACAAGGATTCTGATGGCTTGTCAGGTGCAGAATTACATAAAACGTTGAAGGTTCGGCCTTAGAATTGTTTAATTTATTTGGAACAATAACCATTAGCTTCCAAATTTTGTTTACATGTATTTATGAAATTTAGTACTCATTCTGGTCATGAATACTTATACGATGCACTGTCTAGATGGTCTTGGCTGTATATTAGAGAAGTTATTTACGTTATTTATCTACCTAAAAGCATAAGTTTTCCATTTTACTTCATGCACTTCTACCTGTCTCGTGAATTTGAAAGAGTTAACTTGGTATTAAGTTTTTGATCATTTACAAGTTTCTCTTGTATAACGAGCACTTTAGCTGTCATGTAATCTTAAGTTTTCGTGGTACCTTTTTTGGATTAAGAAACTAGGAGATGTTATTATTGGTAAATTAACCTTTTTAAGACTTAAGAGTAGCTTATACCTTTTATTTAATCTGTATACTTCAAGTTGTGCATCTTTTTATGTTATGAATTTTTGACCTGATTTCTCTAATTATTGAGAAACGAATGCACGACAGGACGAACTCGACTGGATTGGCATGTTGATAAGGCGCTATCTGGGAAGAGAGGTAATTCAGATGAATACAATATAATACCTTGTGATTCTTATGCTTTATGGATAAATTCAAAAACTACCCTCATCAGTAGCCTCATTATACATGCACGTGCACATAAATAAAGTTTCCATTTTGTAATTGCATGCATTTAGTATATTAGAGGCTGTCGAGAGAGATAATTTGTATACAACAAACCTCAAGAGTGTTTTTTGGAAGTTTAAAAAATTGTTGGACCTTTTCTGAAACAAGAATTATGCCAATGTTTTATACATAATGTTCTAAGAATGCTTTTTCTTTTTCCTTTTTTTCCCTGGTACTTGTTTCAAGGCTTTATGGCTCCATCGTCGTTTTCTCTCTCTAGTATGGGTGAAACAACACTTAGCGTCTGATTACGATCACAGTAATATGTTCTCCAACAGTCCCTGCGCAAGTTGCAACATTAGTGTGTTCGTGAAAGACGAGCTGATACTGCTCAATTCCTGCTTAAATTTCCCCAATAAAGAAGATGATTTCGGGGAATATGCAGCGCAAGCGACCCATGCTGCTACCTACATATTATGGCTTGCAAAGGTAGATAATTTTTGCCTTAGTAATGTTCCTCTTATTTAAAAACTTTTTCTCTTGGCTTGCCGCTTAGGCAGTTGTTAACGCCCTTTTTTTTCTTTTTTCTTTTTATGATTTGTTGCTGTTTGTTTAGCAATTGCCCATGTCTTTTGGGGTCGAGCTCCAGAAGAGTTCAGAGTATGAAGGTTGGCTCAGACCTTTGCTTGACGATATTGGAAAGAGCTGCCTTTGGGAATCTATTGCTGCAAGCCGTTGAATTATGTACGTATAATTCAGCTTTTTCATCTGACAAATCTGCTAGCAAGAATTTCCAGGTCACTTGGGCTTACTTGTTCAATGTAGAATTAGTCCTGGGTTATTTTCATCTATTTTTCTTACCCTACTTTTCTAGGAGGTATAGCTTTTGGATAG